ATTGAAGAGGCCAAAATTGGTCACTACTAAATTCAGGCCTAACAAATTCTGTTGTTGGAAGCTACAAGTAAAAAGGAATAGCTTGGCCTATGGAATGAAAGGAAAATCTTTTGTTAATTTTGAAGGGCTAAAGCTATAAGACTTTTTTCCCTTCCTATACTTTTCTTTCTCTTGGTATTATTCCTTTATCATTCTTCTTCACTTGTCTTTTCTCATCATGGTTTTTATATTTTCAAAACCTCACTCAAGTTTACCAGCTGTAGAAACCTCACTTTGACTATCCCAGTTTGTCTCTGACCCTTTAATGCTGCTGTACTAGGCTTTTCCCCTTCCATGGCAAAATATGACAGCCTTCCTTTTTGTGAAAGTTTTCAAATCATATCAAGGAGTTTGTCTTCCCAGCAAGACCATTATAATCCAAATAGAAAAATGTTTGTTCCTAGTATTTGGCCTGATAAAGAGCTTATACTAGAATGTAAACTAGTCACATCACTGACACAGGATTAGTTCACGTAACTTTTTTTCTCATAGCAAGACTTTCCTGAAAAAGAAATCAGTGCAAGATTTATAAATTGCAAACTTGCACTTTAATGAACTAGGCTATAAGGATGCTAGTGGATACTTTTCATCTTCCTGTGAGAAGGGTAAATAGGATAGTTGTGATGGATGACATGACTGGTTGGTGGAGAGCTGTGACACTCACAGTGGTGGATAATTGCTAATAAGAGGTAACATTTTTGAGTGTGAGGATAACATTTTTGAGTGTGAAGGCCTGTTCTATGCAGCTTTTATGAATGAGTTCACTGATACCTCACAATGACCCTCTGAGGTAGGTATTACCATTTTCCCCATTCTACAGATGAAAAAAGCAAGGCCCTTGAGACTAGGTACAGTGGCTCATGCCTGTAATCCCAGCACTTTAGGAGGCCAAGGTGGGTGTACCACTTGAGGTCAGGAGTTTGAGACCAGCCTAGCCAACATTGTGAAACCTTGTCTCTACTAAAAATACAAAAATTTTCTGAGCGTGGTGGTACATGCCTGTAATCCCAGCTACTCAGGATGCTGAGGCACAAGAATCGCTTGAACCTGGGAGGTGGAGGTTGCATTGAACAGAGATTGTGCTAACGTACTCCAGCCTGGGTTACAGAGTAAGACTCCGTCTCAAAAACGGACAAAAAAATGAGACCCTGAGAAATTAACTTGTCCCAAACCTTACAGTTAGGATGAGGCTAATTCAGATTTTGAACCCAGATCTGTCTGAAACCAGTCTATACCTGGATATATTCTTTCCCACAGAGCTTTCTGTAGTGAATATATTCTATGTCTTCTGTTTTCAACATGGTAGCCATTTACCACATGTGGTTTTCAAATACTTGCAGTGTATCTGGCTCAAGTAAGAAAGTGAATTTCTAGTTTTATTTTAATTAATTTACAGTTAAATTTAAATAGCCACATGTGGTTAATGGCTACTGATCAACAACATAGGTCTGGAGACTTTTAAAATGTTACTAACTACAGACTAATAACAGGAAGCCCAGTCCAGGAAAGTATATTCATGTAAGATCTAGTTTTTCCCCATTTCTAGAGTTTCTCAGACATTGTAAAAACAAAAACAAAAACAAAAACAAAAACAAAAACAACAACAACAACAGCAGGGATGCTATCTTAAATTGCTTGGGTATTGGAAGTAATAGGATTCAATTAAGTAAATTATTTACTGCTTCCTTGGGTTCAGAAACTGTGGCACGCTTTGGGCATTCTAAATGAATTTTGTCTTCAAGGAGTAACTTCAATCAACTTTATAGAGTGTTGTAGTTTTTTCCCAGATTTTCCTCATATATGATTAGACAGTATTTAACTATGTGCTATATAATATTTTGTCATGTTTTGATTTTAATTTTATGACTAGATAATGTATTCCCATGGTTTAAACCACAAAAGGTTCAAGCGCTTTCTAATTTCCTTCTATAGACGTAACCAGTGTTGTCATTTTCTAGTGTATGTCCTTACAAATGTTTTGCTTAGACACAAAAAAATGCACATATATATTTAATCATTCCCCTTTCTGAAAACAAATACACACTGTTGAGTAATCTTTTTCTTTTTACTTAAAAAATATACCTTGGATACATTTTCATGCTAGTGTTTACAAAAGTCTCATTTTTTTCTACTGATGCATAATATTACATTTTATGGATGTATTATAATTTACTTAAGCAGTCCCCTACTGATGGACATTTAGGTTGTTTCCATTCTTTTGCTATTACAGGAAATATTGACATGGGTAATTTCAGCACTTATATTCTAAAATGAGCTAGAGTGACTGCATTTCTGTTTCCTAGAGCATATTCCACAGAACACAAGTCTCATGATATGTTCAATATGCAAAAGGGCTCTATAGTTAAATAACTTTGGTTAACTCTGGGTATTTGTTGATGCTTCATAGTGCACACTGTCATATTAAAACAAGTCTTGCAATAATCTGCTTCTATGTAATCCAAGTGTTTTCCAACCTTACATTTTCTCAAGTAACAGAATACACCATTGTTTCAGGTCGGGTTTCTGGGAAGCTGACTCTGAGATAGAAATGTACATATGAGAGGTTTACTGGGGCATCTTCTAAAGAACAACACCTGATGATGGAAGTGAGGGGATCGAAACAGGGTGGGCAGAGGAAGAAGCTGGGCTATGATGAAGTTGCAACGGTGGCCTCACTGGATCCCTGGGGAGTCCTCTAGAGGCAGGGTGGCCCTTTGGAGATGTTTCAACTCTGGAAACAGGCCAGATTCCTGGAAGAAAAAGCCATTACCTGACAAAGAAAGCTAGATAGTTTTCTTTCATTGACAGCATTTCTCGGGAGGGACTCAGCTATGGCTTGTCAGCTGGAACAATGAATTTCATTGTTCACTACAAAGCTGTATAGCATCTTCACATTTTTAAAGGAAATGCTTATCAGTTCCTAGATGGTCTTGCTGGTCAGAGCAAGTCACTTGGTCTCCTGGGATTCGATTTCTTACTGCATGAAATATGAATGCTGAGCTGAAAGTTCTTTAGAGTTTATAACATTCTTTGCATCTATTTCCATTTCAGTATGTGCTAATTAAATTCCAAGGTCAGACATAAGTTTTTCCAAACACATACTTGGCAATACAGAAGCCAATGATGTGGATAGATAAGCCCTAATTTTTAATATTATGGCTCTGAAGTTATGGGAAAAAGTGCATTGTTATAGGGCTTTCAAGTATATGTTACTTAACTTGGGGCAGACTCTTGGGGAGAAATCGCATAAGAGCTGAATTAGAGCTTTTTATTTTTTTAATATTTTGGTTACCTCTTGTTAGGCGTTTGCTGAAGAAGCTAACTATCTTTCTAGGAACATTGGCCCATATTGATAAAATTGAAGGAATATGCTGGCATGCAATGTAAAAAAGAGAGGAGCATAACTGGCTTTAAAGCACATTCTTAGGAGCTCTTATTTATTTTCCTTTTAGAAGATCAGGAAGCAAACAAGTGTAGATAAACAGGGATAGCAATTTCTCAGGGACCTTCCATTTGTGAATCAGATGGGTCTAAATGCCCATCCTATGTCTTTGAGGATATTTGTGAATTTCATTCTCATATGCCTGCAGAATTCATCACTTGTGGTTGATATTGATGGAAACTTGTTTCCTGGTAGGAGAGGGAAAAGGGCTCAGGGAATGGGCCTCTCTTAAGTGTGCCTGGTAGAATTGATGAAAGTTCATAAAAAGGATGGAAAATATATCCAAGAAAAAGAAAATGTTCTTTTAAGATAATGAAATGGGAAGTGAAATCAAATTTAAGGTGGTGGGTATTATACAAACATGATGCAGAGAAGAAAGCAAAAAGGAAGCAACAATTCTAAGGTTGATGGCGGTATGGGTCTATGATCAACCTCTAAATTGAATGTAAGTTTTTCTCAAAAACCTTAATCTTTTCCTTCAACACAGAGCTTCATAAGGATTCTTGGATCACACTGAAATTTGGTTAAGATGTTTCTTAATTTATTTTATAAAATAAAAATTATACTATTTAAATTTTTTTTTTTCGAGATAGAGTCTCACACTGTCGCCCAAGCTGGAGTGCAGTGGCATGATCTCAGCTCACTGCAACCTCAGCCTCCCATGTTCAAGTGATTCTCCTGCCTTAGCTTCCAGAGTAGCTGGGCTTACAGGTGCCCATTAGCATGCCTGGCTAACTTTTTTTTTTTTTTTTTTTTTTTTTTGTATTTTTAGTAGAGACGGGGTTTCACTATGTTGGCTAGGCTTCTCTTGAACTCCTGACCTCATGATCCGCCTGCCTTGGCCTCTCAAAGTGCTGGGGTTACAGATGTGAGCCAATGCACCTGGCCGCTACTTTACTTTTCTAAATGGCATAATAAGTTGGACTATCTTTATTAAAAACATAGAAGTTATATTATTTTTAGGTTTTCCAATCATAAAATCTGTTCACATATTTATACTTCATCAAAATTACATATACCTTAAAATACTATACTATATTATGATGTTGTGTTTGACTACTTCATATCTGAGTGGAGACATTGCCATTTCACTTTTAGAATAGATGTTTACAACTTATTTTCAACACCTTCTTCAGACTTGGTCAATAACTTGATATCAAACATGCAAACACATTTGACATCACATGTGTTTTGTGCTATTTCGTGGCAAAGGGAAAGACATTTACTAGAGAGCTATATGAAACATTATAGGCTTTAAAAATGATATATGATAATTTTTTCTCCAAAATGAAGTAGCTCTAGATAGCGAGGACATGAGTTAAATTATGGGGGACTCTGAGGATTATAGAAAAGATTTCTCCAAGAAGTTAAGTTTTGACTTATGGAGTTTTCTCCATACGAGTCTTCCTGTTTCTTTTTATAGCATGATCAGGTATGTGGGTAACTATAAATCTGAGGAAGGGAGGATTTCTCAATACATAATTATTAATCCTCTTATCCCTACCTTTGACTCTTACAGAATCCATTCCAATATATGGCTACGTGGCTCTTTGGAGCAATGTTCCATCATGTTCCATGCTGGTGACATCACACGGAGCACAGAAATCAATGTTAGCAGATAGCCAGCCCATACAAGATCGTGTAAGTAAAGGTTCTTGTTTGTTTGTTTGTTTGAGATGAAGTGTCACTCTGTCACCCAGGCTGGAATGCAGAGGTGCAATCTCAGCTCACTGCAACCTGCGACTCCCAGGTTCAAGCAGTTCTCTGCCTCAGCCTCCCAAGTAGCTGGGATTACAGGCATGCACCACCACGCCCAGCTAATTTTCTGTATTTTAGGTAGTGACAAGGTTTCACCATCTTGGCCAGGCTGGTCTTGAACTCCTGACCTAGTGATCCACCCGTCTTGGCCTCCCAAAGTGCTGAGATTACAGGTGTGAACCACTATGCCTGGCTGTGAGTAAAATTTTAAAAATTGTATCATATAATGTAGACATTTTTACGTAATAGTGTAATTCCTAATAAGGAAGATGTGGCAAAACAGGTGAAGTTATATATATTCAGAATTTTTTAAATGAGCATCTTGGTTTAAAAAATATACAATTTGTTATTGCATGCTTAAAACATATATTTGAGGGCACAGAATATTGCACATAAGTTTTTTTCTGAAAAGAGACACTTAGTAAATATTATAGACTTTGTGAGTCAAATGATCACTGTCCTAACTAGTCATCTCTGCCCTATTGCTTAAGAACAGCCATCAGTGTGTATGGGCATGGCTGTGTCTCAACAGAACTATTTACAAAAACAGGCGGCAGATGAGGGTTGGCCTCTGAGTCATAGTTTGTCAATAAAGAAAATGAAAGAATTGTGCATATCATTATCTGTATATTACTGGATTAATTTAGAAAGAACTTGGGTGCTTAAAATTAAATAATAGGCCGGCTGCATTGGCTCAAGCCTGTAATCCCAGCACTTTGGGAGGCCGAGGCGGGTGGATCACGAGGTCAAGAGATCAAGACCATCCTGGCCGACATGATGAAACCCTGTCTCTACTAAAAATACAAAAATTAGCTGGGCATAGTGGCGCGCGGCTGTAGTCCCAGCTACTTAGGAGGCTGAGACAGGAAAATTGCTTGAATCCGGGAGGCAGAGGTTGCAGTGAGCCGAGATCGCGCCATTGCACTTCAGCCTGACGCCTGGCGACAGAGCAAAACTCTGTCTCGAAAAAAAAAAAAAATTAAATAATAAATGTAATCAAACTATCTAATTTCTAAATGAATTTACTAATCTAAATATATGAGAAGATAATGCAGATTAAATTTTTTAAATGACTGACACTTTTGAGAAGTATTTTAAAACAATGTAAGATCAAGTTCAGTCTCCATAACTAAAAAAAATATAGTAAGGTATAAGTTAATGATTGAGATATGTTCTAAGAAATACATCGTTAGACAATTCTGTTGTGAGGACATCCTAGGCTGTACTGACACAAACCGAGATGGTATAGCCTATACATGCCTAGTCTATATGGTATAGCCAGTTGATCCTAAGCTACAAACCTGTACACCATGTTACTCTACTGAATACTGTAGGCAATTGTAACACAGTGATAAGTATTTGTGTATCTAAACATAGAAAAGATATAGTAAAAATGCAGTATAAAAGATAAAAAGTGATATATCTGCATAGGACACTTAGGATGAATAAAGTTTACAATATTGGAAGTTTCTCTGGTTGATTCAGTGAGTGAGTGGTGGGTGAATGTGAAAACCTTGGACATTACATTACACTACTGTAGACTTTATAAACACTGTACAATTAGGTCATGCTAAATTTTTAAAAATATTTTTCTTTTTTCAATAATAAATTAACCTTAGATTATTGTAACTTTTTAAATTTAAGAAACAAATATTTTCTTTAACTTTTTGACTTTTGTAATAACACAACATAAAACCAAACATATTGTACAGCTGTACAAAAATATTTTTCTTTACATCCTTATTCTATAAGATTTTTTCTATTTTTAAAAATGTTTAGTTTTTGCTTTTAAAAAACTAAGACATAAACACACACATTAGCCTAGGTCTACACAGAGTCAGGATCATCAACATCAGTGTCTTCCTCCTCCACATCTTGTCTCCCTGGAATGTGTCCAGGGGCAGTAACACGCATGAAACTGTTATCTCCTGTGATGTCAATGTCCTCTTCTGGAATATCTCCAGAAGGACCTGCCTGAGGCTGTTTTACAGTTAACTTCTAAGAAAATATAAATAAAAGGAGTACATCATAAAATAATGATAAAGTATAGTGTAATAAATACGTAAACCAGTAACAGTTATTATCAAGTATTATGTACTGTGCATAATTTTATGTTATACTTTTATATGACTAGCAGTGCAGTAAGTTTCCATTAGCATTTAAACATGTGAGCAATGCATTGTGTTACAACATTAAGGCATTGATATGGTTTGGATTTGTGTCTCCATTGTTGGCGGAGGGGCCTAGTGGGAGGTAATTGGCTCATGGGGACAAAGTTTCCCCTTGCTGTTCTCCTGATAGTGAGTTCTCATGAGATTTGGTTGTTTCAAAGTTTGTAGCACCCCCCACTGCTCTCTCTTCTTCCTGCTCTGACCATGGGAGACATGCCTGCTTCCCCTTCACCTTCTGCCATGACTTTGTTTCCTGAGGCCTCGCCAGCCATTGCTTCCTGTATAGCCTGCAGAACTGTGAGTCAGTTAGACATTTTTTTCTTTATAAATTACCCAGTCTCAGGTAGTTTTTTTTTTTTTATAACAATGCAAGAAAGGAATATACAGACATGTACAAAGTCACCAGGTGCTAGGAAATTTTTCGGCTCCATTATAATTTTATGGGACAACCCTCATTGTATATGTGGTCTGTCATTCACTGAAACTTTGTGACATGGGACTTTAAAGCCACAGAAATAAATTCAAGCATCTGGCTTCTTATGGTAAAGTGAATATATACATTTCATTTTCACTTTCAGTTATAATTTCTAATTAATACCCTCAGATATAATTCTAATTAACACCCTCAGATACACCTCTGATAGCATGTATAATAGATCAAGATGAACAGTGGAATAAGTAAGGAAGTTTAAGGAAATTGAAACATTTTATAAGAACTCTAAGGAAAAAGGCAGTTTCTTTATTTTTCCATCGTTTTTGGTATGAGAAAATAAAATAACTATAAATTGAAAGGAAAAAATATGGAGAGCATGTTCTTTGACAGTAATTATCTATAAACTGAAACTTACCCCTTAACTTCATAAACTTCCTGAAATTACTGTTTCTTGGAATTTTTATTAAGAATTCTCCAAACCCAAGAACAAGTTTACTGGTGTCTTTTTTTTTTTTTTTTTTTTTTTTTTGAGACAGAATCTTGCTTTGTCACCCAGGCTGGAGTTCAATGGCCCAATCTTGGCTCAATGCAACCTCCACCCCGTGGGTTCAAGCAATTCTCCTGCCTCAGCCTCCTGAGTAGCTGAGTAGTCACCATGCCTGGCTACTTTTTGTATTTTTAGTAGAGACGGGGTTTCACCATGTCAGTCAGGCTCATCTCGAACTCCTGAACTCATGATCCACCCACCTCGGCCTCCTAAAGTGCTAGGATTACAAGCATGAACCACCACACCCAGCCGGTGTCTTATTGATACACACCAATTAGGTATTGCTACCATTGAGGGATTGAAGAAGATGCAGGGGGAAATTTTGGATATAAAGTGATAATATTTGAGACATTTTAGTAATAGCAATGTGGTTTGGAGTGTCTTGTCACTAAGACATTGAGAGAAACGAATAAACATTATTTCTTAAAAAATTATGAGCAATTCTGGGGAAAATAAGCTATGGCAGGGGAATTTTGCTTAAATGAAATCATGCTTGAAATATGCAAGAGATTTAAACAGGAATCTCCCCTAGTATGTGAGTAGTAAATACGTGTTTTGAAGTCATAAGAAGAGTGTCATGTGCTTTCTGCTTTTCTTTTTATGAATTCTCTTTGATTGCTGCATTTTTAGGTTCAGCTTCCTTTGTTGATACTTAAATATAGGAGCATTCTGATTGGTTATTTTTTGGTGGCCAGTGATAGTTATTCATGTCAGGATTTAGGCTAGGTAGAATTAAAGACCTCAAGTATCTCTTTCAATTTGCACAGTAAAAGAGGCAAGTAAGTGTAATTTGTTCCTTGGTGAGCTCTGCTGTTGCTGTAACAAGAACCCAGAAAGGCACTATTTGTATAGGTTAATCCTTTGGAGGTAGCTTTTATTTTGGATAGTCAATTGGGAAGTGTAATAGGCTCTGTGCTAAAGAAACCTTCACTGTGATGACATTGCTGCCAACCGAATCTCACTTGTAGTCTTTAACATGATTTATTTGCTATAATTTTTACATTTTGAAAATAAACGCATTTATAAAACAGAATTTGGGTATAAGCTAAGTTAATAAGAATCTCACCAGTGCATGCTTTCACTCAAGGCCCCTTCCCTTTTATTTTAGCTAGGGATGTAGCTTACAAGCTTGGGTGGCTTGAGTCACCACTTTTCACTCAATTTAGTTAAAGCTTTTAATTTTATTTTTTATTAACGTTTTAATTATCAGGGTAATACGTGCTCATTATAGAAGAGTGAAAACTATAGAAAAGTTTAAAGTGGGAAAAATATCACCAGTTGCCATAATTACTAGGAGGCAACTAAATGCATGATTGTTAACAAGGTTAGTTTGTTTACGTGGTTGTTATAAAAAAAGATTGAAAAGTTTCATTGTGGTTTTGCTTGTTTAACAGCAAATTGTGACATTTCTTTGTGACATTACATAAGTAAACATCATTTTAATGTGCATATAATACTCTAATTTAAAATAGGCTCCAACCCATCATACCTTTCCCTAATTTTTCATTATTATAAATAATACTTCAGTGAATATATTTTTGAATACATTTTGTCCAAGTTTCTGATAATTTCATTAGGTACATTTCCCAAGAAGGGAACTAAGATGTCTAAAGTAATAAATATTTTAACAGTGCTCAGCTCTTATCCCAAAAATTATGTACAGATTTATAACTTTGCCATCCCTACACCTTCATCATTTCTATGTGAGCCTTGGTGATGTTGCATCATTCTG